CTCATTTGATTTGGCACAAATTGTGTGTTTAAAATCAACAGAAAATTAGTGAAATTGACCTGATGATAAAATAAAGATGACCTTGAAATTCAGCAGAGCACATCAACCTTCTATTCTGTAGTAACAATTTGGACTTTTTGCAAAAATAAAAATCACAAATCACAAATTCCAAAGATTTTCATGTTTAACAATGCTATAATATTCCCATGCTTTCCCACAACACACTATGAATAGATAGATAGCACAGATATTCCTGCCATGCCTGCAAACATTTCAGATACATAACTGACATTGTGCAGGATGCATTGTGGGAAGACCCAATCAATGAATTAATTGTGCACCTGTGCCATTGTTAGATATCATAGAATACTACATGCCCTGGAAAGGAAGCAAGCCAAGTGAGTTTAGTAGCTATAATAGGCGAATGTGTTGAAAGACTAGGCATAGTTTTATAGAACTTTGAGTAACCCAATGTCCCCTTTCATTCCATAATCAAAACTCCAAAGCATACTACTAATAATCCTGCATGGTTTAATAATAAATAATAATAATAGAAAGGTTTCTAAACTTGGACTCAATCACCAAACCCTAACAAAGTAGTTGTCCAGGGTAGGTCTTCAAAAGCTAATCTCACATCGATCCAAAGATAAAGTGCAAGATATTGTTGTTTGGGTTGATACCCATGTTGCCAAAACAAGTAAAAGTGTATGTTCTCACTCATGCTGCTTTTCCAAGAAAAAAAAGTCATGAATTTGTGATAAGATTTTTTATTTTTACTTGTCTATGGCTTGTGTATGTCAATGGGAGCCTCACTAGGGTTATAGCCATGTAACGTTTCTCAGGGCATGTTTGTGATGTGCATTCTCGTATTACCAGAGAAGTATGTTTTGTGCACTTTTGTGAGTAATCTTTTATGGCCTAGTACATCAGGATATATATATATATATATATATATATATATTCATACACACACATATATGTTACTGATAGGTAGAATGTTTATGCCATGTTGTGTTCATGCAAATATTCACAATAAATATCACTTTTCTAAAGATATTAATGGAATCATGTATTAGTTGTAGTAGAGTATTCCACTGTATTTAGAAGTGAGAGAATATATTATAATAAGAAATGAAAAATTTAAAGGATCTGATTCTTAAAAAACCCCAAAAATGGCTGTTTTCATTTAATAAATTATATAGAAAATTTGAAAACATAATTGTTCAATAAAAAATGAAAAAAACCAAGTGTTTTAAAGTAAGACAAAGAAAAAGAAAAAGTACTAATATTAATTTTATTATAATTAGTCATAAATTGATTCATTCATTGTATTTCTGAGAGCAATACAACATTATTTTTCTATATTTAGCGAATACAGTAGTTAATTTCTTCCATTAAAAAAAACATCAAATAATTCAATAAAAGTAGAATCTTTTAAAAAAATTGATAAAAACATATTGCTTATTCTTTGCAAATTTTTCAAAATTAGTGGGTTTGGGTTACACCTCCCAAACCTTGACTCTAAGCTTGGCAAGTATGGTGAGGTCCATGCACATGATGAACCACATTCCTTTCCCATGCAAACTAATTGTCATTGTACACTACTTCTTATAAACTGAGTGTGTTTTATGTTCTTTTTCAAAAAGTACAAGGAAGAAACAAAAAAAATCACACACATGCACACACACATATATAACATTTTTTAAAAAAATTGGTTATTCCTTCCATCATCGCCATCTTGAAATTGACCTATGCTCCACCTACAGAGATATTTTTTATGAAAATGGTTTGATGTGAATTGTTAACATTGGAGCATTGCAAGGACTATGGTAGATTGCAGAAGTATCCATGGATATATTCCTTATATCAAACCACATCATTCAATTCCACCAAATTTGCATTATTGCCAAAACCAGAAGGGTTGTACAAAGTACATGGTGGCCACATCAATTTTCAGCTAAAAAATAAATTACCTCCCATCTCATGTGCAAAAGCTTTGAGGTGTGATAAGGATATTGGAAGGAATGATTACAAAGTGCAATTTTTTAAAATAAAAAAGACATGTACTAAACAACATATTCACAAGGATTTGAACATTTCAATTCTCCCAAATCCTTAGTCCTTATTATTGTTGTAATAGAACATCATTTTATGGATGTTTCCACTTGTGGCAATGATTTAGGTGCTTGGACATTGTGAACTACCCAATTGGTTGTAATGTACTGTGAGAAACTGGATATTTATTTGGAAAGTCCAACAGTAACAAAATCAATATTGGTGAGATAGTCAATGTGGTCAATGAGTAATGTGTTATGTGAAGAAGAAGAAAGGAGAACATGATTTGAAATTTATGAGGATAAGTCTTGCAGCATTCTCCAAAGAATAACATTTATTGTAAAATATGAAATAGAAGACACAGAATCTGCAGAAAGATGCAAGGGTATGGGCACATGTGGTCTGTTGGCCATAGTGTTTACTTCCAGACAAATATAGCACAATACTCATTGATGACATTGTCACAAAATCTTCAAACATAGCAATGATTTTCTCATAACATACAATACTTTGCAAGTAATAAAAATCCATTCTTTGTTGTTTTATCATGCATTTTAAAAACTACATGATACCATCAATGCAATGAATGAAAGTATTCCACTGCATCTCTCCAATTATTGATTTTGGAATCACAAATCAAGTAAATGCTTTGTTGAAGGTACACTTCCAAAAGCTATGTCACAAGCTAACACTCATAAAACTTTGCTGTAGACTCAAAATCACAATATAAGGACTCATGAGTTGTATGAGCAATTTGCTGTCAATTTTATTTTTATTTTTTAATTGCATTAAATAAAAAATGTCTGAATATCTTAATGCAAGAATGGTTAACTGCAATCTATTACAGAATTCATGGTACCATAAAAAAGCAAGCATCTGTGAGAAATAGTCACTCTTCAAGTCACAGAAAACTCTGTAAGTGGTTTGGTAGAAGGGGCTATCAATCTATGTGTGATTTGGTGATGGTGAAGGGACAAGGCTGGGGTGGCTAAGGAAAGGGAAAGGAATGGGGCCATGAAGAAAAAACAAGAGGAAGAGAGAGAGAGAGAGAGAGAGAGAGTTATAGAGAGCCAGTCTCCCTCTTCATGGAAGTTATTCTTTTACTGGATTTGTCAAGAGAAACCAAATGCCTCTTTTGAGTCACACTGGCTCACTTTAGGGTTAGTGCCCCCCCTCCCCCTCTCTTTCTCCCTCTCAATTATTCTCAGAGCAACACACACACACATCTTCACAAGGCTAGAGCCTGGGGAGACATAGATGGATGACTCTGCATGCATGGATAGAAGTAGATAGTCCTTGTTGACACCACGTCACTATCTGTTCCAATACTTTGGGTAAGATGTTACATATATTTAAAATAATAATAATAATAATTCAGTGAGTTCCTGATGGTGTCTTGGGGCTTGACTGTGAACAGGGGGAGGTGAAGGTGGTAATTTATCAAGGGGCTGGCCTTGTGTCATGAGCTTGAGCTACAATAATAATAATAATACTAATAACCCCACCCCACAAATAGGGTATGACTGCAATTCTGACAAGGATTTAATATCTGAAATTATACTTTTTTTACACATGCAGAAAGGCACCCCCACATGGTTGCATGTTTTCACTCAGATGAATGCAAGTGCTTTTCTGATTTCCTTGATTGTTGTGATTTACCAGGGGGAGTGACTTCCATGTCAACAAATAAATAAACAAATAACAAAACAACCACATTTTGTGCATCTAAAAGTTCTCAAGGCAATCACAGAACCCTGGCTGAATTTTGAGCTATGACATTGTAATGCACAAAAGCCCTGTTAGACTTTGGGAAGGCAATCATTCTCAAAAGCTTTGTAAATTATGTGGTCTAATAGAAGTAGTTCAGAGCCTGCTACAAATGGAATTATTGGTGAGCTCTAACATTGATAGGGATGGAGGTTAGCAAAGCAGGGGAACACAGACTTGAGGCTAAGGAAACAGAGAGAGAGAGAGCCCTGATCAATGAATGCCAAGGGAGGGGGGGGGGGGTTGGGGTTGGCATTCATCAGTAGGGGACAGAGGGGGTGAGTGAGGTGCAGCTGAAGCATGGGGGATTAGGGTTAAAAGGTGGATGGTCCCCTTTAATTTTTTTTGGTTGGAAATCCACAGAAATAGGAACCAAACAAACATGTCTGGGTCAAAGCATTGGCAGCTGTCTCTGCAATATCCCTTGAGCTTCAAGGTACCACCCACAATAGGCCATGAACATTACACAGGATCATCAAGCTACCCTCATTGCTCATTTTGAACCACTCAATAAAATAAAATAAAAACATTCTGTTACTCCAGGTTTCCAATGATTTCCCATTCTCTTATTTTTAATTTTCGGGTGAAATTGATGCTCATTTGACCATGTGGGTGTTTTGACAGATGCATTTGTGTTGCAATTTTTATATATTTTAATAGAAATAAACAGAATGTATACAAACAATGGTTTTTTTTTTTTTTTTTTTTTTTATTTTTATGAGCAATGGGTTGTGTAATCATATGCAGTGGTTTGTCTTCAGGAGGATCCCAAAAATTTGAAAGAGGTGATTTCATTGTATTGCATTGGTAGGTTTGTGACAAACTTGGGTCACCCTGATCACCTTCAGTCTCTAACACTTTCTGCTATATCTCCACATGACCTTGATGTTCAGAATCAGCATATTTTCCATATAAAATTATTCTTCATTCCCAGGATCTTGAAATGGGAGATCAAATATAGGACTACATACATGTATGTTTTTGGGGTTGTGAAAGGTGCAATTAGATAAGAATGTTGCAGGTTCCCCAAACAACATCCATTTATTTTTTTTATTTTTTTATTTTTTATTTATTGTGGCGGGTATTAAATGTAATGTTCCCATCAGAGCACCTTCAAAAAGTCTGTAAATGATGCAACGAATTAACAAAAAAAAAGTCCCTAATTAGCATCACAAATGGTGGACTGATCAGGATGGAGATCAGGATGGACTGGGCTAGGCTAAATATAACTCGCGGTCATAGAAAGAGCAGAAATATCACGTCCCCAGCGAGGGGAGCACGGTACGCAAGGGGAACCAAAACCCATCGCTCTCCACCCGCAACGCCGCTCACCCACCACCGCGCTGGGCCCCATCGCCGCGAGGGGTGGGAGGGCACAGGTCCCATCCCCGACCCCTCCATTGATGACTCAGCCCGCTCCCTTCCCGATGGAACGACGGGCGACAGGGCGGAGCAGGCAGGAAGGCATTCTCTCGCTCTCTCTTGCTCCCTCTGGCTCGCTCTATGGTGGAGGGGGCTCCATGGCTTCAGTTCCTTAACTCTACAAAACAGACCGCTCCTCTGGGATTCATTGCAGTATTCGATCATCGCTACCGCGCCGCACAGGTGCTGCTATTGCAGGTTCCAATGTAGTGTTAGGAACACATGGTTTTCGAGTGTGTAATGTCGTTTACAAGGTGTGGAAGGTGCGTTTGGTGGTGATAGGGAACGTGCGTTTGAGGAGGACATTACAGAGTTTGAAGTGTTTAGTATTGTTGTGATCTGTTATTTTATTTATTTATTTATTTATATTTTTGTAGTTGTCGGGTCTAAAGCGTGTCTTGGTTGAAGCTTAACGGGCGGCTTCTGGAGCGGATGGTTTTTATCGGGAGGTTGGAATGAGAATTTGTGGAGTGCAGCGGAAGTGGAGCTGGAATTGGTTTGATTTTAGCTGCGGAGTGAAGGGGGGGAAATGGAGTGGAGGACTGTGATAATGTTTAGTGTTGTTTCGGTGAATGCGGTGATCTTATGTCATCTGAGGATATGGGTTGCTAATAGAAACTGCGTATGGGAAGTGGACATGGACGAGCTGTTACGTGAAGGTGTTCAGAGGGAAGCGTGTTTGTGTTGTTTTGTGGTTTGAGAATGATGGCTGGCATCTCTATGGCATTGATTTTCTAAAGAAAACCGCGATCATTTGCAGGAGTTGAGGTCCTTCCGAAATCTACGATTTGCAGGAAGATCGAGTAGTGTAGTTGAGTTTTAATCACAGGAAAACTGCGTGAAAGATTGGGAGCGGGTCCAATTTGGTGTGGTGTCTGCGTTCCTTGACATCGTTCCTTGAAGGTGTCGCTGAGGCTATCGTGATTGTGGAGGAAAAACTTCTGTATCTCTCTGTGACGAGCTCTGGACTCCAATTTTGTTTTGCGCAATCGAAGTGTGAGATGTGCGCTGTGCTGTGCTGTGAAAATTAAGAAGCCTGGAGCATTGAGCGCTTTGCGTGTTGTTTATAACGTCATAGGCAATGGCAAGAGCGAATAAGCTTATCAATGATCCCAATGGTGAGAGATACCAAGGATCGATGCTTGCTGCCTATTTGAACTTCATTGCTTGCGTGATTGATCCTGAACATAAATGGGGATTGTCTGTGAATGAACGTTTTCAGCCTGTGAGCAGTTTTACTCGTTAGTAACCACAAAGATTGGTACATTCGAATTGGAAGCAAGGACCGTAGCCTTTTTTCGGCCTCTCTATTATCCCTTTTCTCTATGTTTCTTCCTCTTCCGGTCTGTGCCTTCGTCTCACCGGGTTGCGACGTTGAGCATCGCCCCACTGGAACAGTGACTTTGCAGCTTTACGACTCCTCGTAGGTTTTCCTGATCGCTACTCCTTACAGGTGTGAAGATAGAGCTGTGGTGTTCTAAGACCTAGAGAAAACTTGGTCACGATGTATCATTCTCAAGCATGACCATGGGAATCCGACCCTTGGTATGAAAGAGAGGGAACTTGATTCATATACAGGATAATGGTTTAATATGATTAAATTTTCTATTGCATACACTCTTTCGATCGCTGTGATCTCGTCTCCTCTTCGAACGGTTAGCGTATATCCTTGGTGCTTTCATACATTTTCTTACGTTAATGTAGGTTTGTGCATCTCTTGTGTGCATGTATTGAGTAGTTTAAGTAAGAGGATGGGGAATCTGCTTTCCAGGAGAAGGGCTTCTCAGAGTCCTAAAATAAAGCAATAAATAATTTAGCATGAATATAGAATAATTGTCTCCCGTGTTGTTGATCTGCCCGGTCTCTGGAAGTTTCCAATTTTGTTCTTTTGTCTGTCATGCCGATTATTTTCTGAATTCTCTTCGTGCGTGACATCCCAATGAGGGATATATTTGTTTTGCCGTCGGTAGCTAGGATCATACTGTGATAACTTGGAAAATGTGGAGTATTAAATGGTTGTACTACGAGAGACCACTGTGGAAAGCTGTTGCAGCTTACGACAGCTAGGTGTGCCACAGTGCATTAGTAACAAGCGCTTACATGGAGTAAGTAGTGTCATTCATAGATCGTTGTAGTATTGTTTTAGATCGATCATTGAGATCGTCGAAATCCTTATTTTTAGGAAGAATTTTAAGTGTATATTACCATGAGAACCCTGAGTTTTCAAGTACTCGTTAACCTTTGGGGTGGAGCAAACGTACGATCAATATCATTGACATAGCTAACAATTTATTAAACTTAAAAATCTCTGTTAAAGAAGTATATAAAAGTTGCCGTTCGAATTTTTTCTTTAGAAATTATTCTTGAAATTGCAAGTTGTGAAACATAGTCGAGTGATTAGTACACGTAGTATTGCAGATCGGGATCGACGTTCTGTACCTCTTAATTATTTTAGATATGGAATTCGGTGGCTTAAATACCACAGCAGTAGTTATTGTCTATTTATTCTTCAAGTACTCAATTAGCCAAGAGTCTGCATCTGGAAAGCCTGATAGGACTCTATCACGCTTAAGCTCATACAAATAATTTGCGTTAATCGAGTTATTCCACTCTCAGCCTTGAAGCTTTCAGTTACTGAATGCAGAATAAACACAACTGAGTGTAGAAACCTGAACATGAGTGTTGGTAAAGATAAGGTTTGCATTACTGTTTTCAAATTGAACGTGGCGAGAATCCGACATTAACTTTCTGAGATTTCTTGTGAATTTACTGGTGTAGTTACTCGTTAAAGCTGCTATTTTCTTCTCGGCGGATTTCGAACACACTTATTTTCCATTAATCCTTTGGTACAAGTCATTGACTGAAGATTCACTATCTTATGTTGTTATCAATCAACATTGATAAGCCTTGGCAGGACTTCTCGTGCAGTCTGTTAACCATTCATCTTCATCGTTATTAAAACGATATCTTATTTTTTTTTGATCATGCAGATGTTGTTAAAGAGTTGATTGAGGGAGTGGTGGAGACATATCCTCACCTTACTTATCTTGATGGAATTCCTGAGGTAAGACCATTACGCTTAAGTAACTTTTTTGTGTTCGTAGTTTCTCTCATCTGCATTTGTGTAATAGTTACAGCGAATGTCTATTCGCAATGCGAACCAGCGGTGCATGATATAGTGCTTAGCACATGCGTAGCATAAGAAATTTAATGCGTCCCTGAAGCTTATTTGGTGATGTGTAGGTGAAAGTAATATTGCGGGCAGATATTAAACGAGGTAGCTATAATAAAGTTGCAATTTTATCAGGTATAATCTTTGTTTAAATCCTCGTCTGCCTTAGTAGTTAGCATCTTATTTTCAATGGGATGGTCCTGCAAAAATTATGTATTCTTGCTGTGATTGTTCTTCTTGCATATAGTTTGTCCTCTTCAACGTAAGGCAAATAATGATATGTTAAGTGTATGTCATTTAATCACGTTAGACACGGCGCAGTATCGGCAAGATCAATGCCAATGAATTTTAATACACGTTTTCAGAAAACTTCAGTAAGTAGTTATTGATTTCCAGAAGCCTTTATTTCGATGCTGGTGTGTCAATGTACAGGTGGTGGCAGTGGTCATGAGCCTGCTCATGTAGGATATGTAGGTGAGGGTATGCTTACGGCTGCAATTTGCGGGGATGTGTTTGCTGCTCCGTCGGTTAATGCAATACTAGCTGTAAGTCGAAACCTTCTCATACTCCTATCTGTGATGAATCTTGTTGAGTTTGTTAATTTGAATCAGCCAAGATGTCAAGTCTTCAACTCTTGGTGCGAGTGTCTCTCGTCGCATGTGCCTTTTTTTTTTTAGTTGGTTTTGAATATGATTTCAAATTTTGAATATAGCCTGAACTTATTTGAAAATTATTATGGTTTAGTAGGCTTTAGGAGGTGATTGGGGAGTAGCTGCGCCTGGCGCAGTATTTAGTGAAGTGAATGGATTGGAACTATGAATGCTACATTAGTTGCAGAATTTGTTTCATGGATTTGTTACGCCAGAACAACCTTCTGCTCTGCTGATACTTTTTAGGATGTTACAGGGAATCCGTGCGGTAACTGGACCTCCCGGTTGTCTCCTTATTGTGAAGGTATCGATTGTCATGGAATGCATTGATATTCATTGTGACGTATTAAGTCACTCGTTATACTCATTTCTTTTTGTATGCTGACAGTTCTTACCTTATGATTTTGGGTGACTTCATGATTGCTTTTCACTGCAACTAGATAGTGAACAAATTCTACTTGCACACTAATGGTGCACTGTGGTTCTGCGCTATAGAAGTTGCAGTAGAATGTAATTGATTGATTATCTAAGCAGAGTCTTACTGGGGCATTTTGCACGACGTCAGTGTAAGTACTGATTGAAGTATGTTTATTCGGGTGCCAGAACTACGTAGGAGATCGCCTAAATTTTGGGTCTGCTGCTGAGCAAGCGAAGGCAGAAGGGTTCAAAGTTGAGGTATGGATGCAAAAATGCTTAAGAGTTGTAGATACAACATTTAGCAGGTGCTCGCCTTTTACAATGATTCAGTCTTTTTTCTTTTCACATTTTCAAAGTTTTAAAAACATACTTTTATATTACATTTCGCTCGCACAAAAGTCCAGATTTCATCTCCTGTTGCGAGAATTATGGAGGCAGAGATAACCCGGTGCTTATTCAATTTATGTGCGCTAGTGCAGAGAACACCCTCTGTTTTGTCGCTAACTGCAGCTGCAGTTGATGTCGGAAAGTGTTAGTTATCATGAGTCTCACGAATTTGGTGCATCTGGATTCTTACGGGATATTATTTGATATGTAAATTTTTCATTCTAATCTTGAAAATAATCTTTGAGTAAGTAGAGCAATGTCTCATCTTGTGTTCATTGATGCAGATGGTGATTGTGGGTGATGATTGTGCTCTCCCCCCTCCGCCACGAGGTCCAGTTGGTCGACGAGGATTGGCGGGTACATTATTTGTTCACAAGGTATAACTTTCGCTTCATCATAATGACCCTTTTCCTGATACCATTAGAATGCTTCGTAGTACATCCTCTGTTCTTTGGAATTCTATGGGTAACAAAATTACTTTGATCACTTCACATTTTCCGTTCATGAGCTTTTGATGCTTTTCTTGTTGTCATTAACCAAACAGTATGAAACAAGTTTGGTTAAGCAGCTGTAGAGTAATAATCACTCACGTTCTTTGCAGCAATCATATACAAGACATCATTTTTTCCAAATGTTTTTGTTTGATATTATTAAAATTGTTAATATTATTTTTGGATGAATAGCGTTGAATTTTTCTGCCCATTATTTTGGCTCTCGATGTGACTTGAGGATAATTTAGTGGGTTCATTTTTCTTCCCAAAAGTTAGGATGCAGTACACGGGTATGGAAGGGAGCATTTAGGGCGATGAGGATGATCTTTCGACTTTTGACTGTCCAGTTTATTTGATTCATTTGTGAGCTTCTTTGCTAGGTTGCAGGAGCAGCCGCTGCAGCGGGGCGATCACTTACTGAAGTTACAACTGTTGCAAAACGAGTTGCAGAAATGGTAGGTACAATGGGGGTAGCATTGACTGTGTGTACAATGCCTGGGCAAAATCCTTCAGATCGACTGGGACCTGGGAAAATGGAGCTGGGTTTAGGCATTGTAAGTTTATCCTCAACATGTTTGGAATGTACATTTTATGATACAAGTTCCATTCGTATAGATATTAGAAATATTCTTACTTGTGATGTGAAGTAAGTTCATTGGAAATAGTTTCTATCTTAGTGACAGCCATGTGCAATATATGTAGCATGGGAAACAGTTTCTGTTTGTGTTTGTGTGCTGTACTCTTTGTGGACTTTATGCTAAGTGGAGTCAACAGTTAGTGGATCATTTCAAAATCTAAGTATTGTGGAGATCGTATTTATGTTTGCAGCACGGTGAACCAGGAGCTTTGGTAGCTGATTTGCAGCCCGTAGATTCTGTTGTGGCTCACATTTTGAAGCAAATTTTATCTCAAGTACGTTATTATCTTTTTGTAATTTTGTAGCTTAGTGCTGGGTTTTTTGACAATTGAATATTTTTGAAGATCTTTGCATGTTTGCGAATCTGCTATAAGATACAATAGTTTCAACTTGGGTTATGTTTGGGAAGCTGGAACAATCAGCCTACATTAAGCTCCATATTTTGGTTTTTACGTAGTATGGTGAACAATTGCTCCTTCAAAAGATCAAATAATACCAAGTTCGTTGCTGTCAGTGACAACGGGCGTGCCATCTTTGATTATCCACTGTTTGCAGGAGACAAACTATGTGCCTATCAAACCAGGGAGTCGAGTTGTGCTCATGGTGAATAGGTACTTGTTCAAACGCTTGAGAGGGTTATTTTGTTCTGAGTTCTTATTGCATCGCTCCTTCTATTCTTTCGTTCCGACTGTTATATCTTGCAAGGATGATACCCTTCTCTTGGTTCGAGGATGTGGCTGCATTTTGCTGCACTACTTTTTCCGATTTTGTTGGATGTTGACAATTTTCAGAACTAAAAGTGAGATAAATAGAATAAATAAAAATTGGTTTGTGTAGTCTTGGAGCAACACCGATGATGGAGCTAATGATTGCTGCTGGGAAAGCTGTTGCACAACTGCAAATAGAGCATGGCTTAACTGTAAAACGTGTTTATACGGGTTCCTTTATGACATCACTTGACATGGCAGGTAATTGTGTTGTTGCAGAAGCTTCTCTATCTTAGGATTCTTCTAGAGGGTAATTATTTGGAAACAATAGGTCTCTAGTTATATGTTCCTGCGAGGACACTGGCACAACTGTTGTGTTCTTCATTTTATGCTGACATCAAGTATATTGTATTTTCCCAATAGTCCTCTTGCTTGAATGTGCCTACGACCATGATGGATAAACCTGACACAGGGTTGCGATTCTTTTACCTCGTTTCAAACGTTTTTCGGGATGAGATTACGCAGAAACTTTCTAAACACATTTTGTTGTGTCTAATCTACAGGAATGTCACTGTCTGTGCTGAAGGTGGACGACTACATTTTGGATGCACTTGACTCTGCAACCCAGGCGCCAGCGTGGCCTGCTGGAGTTGCTGGTATAGAACAGAAACCGACTGTCAATTTGTCAACCTCATTGTGTCATAAAATGCGGTCATGGGCGATCCGTAGTTATGACTGGCTTCTCCCGAGTACAAAATTATCCTGATAGATGAAAAAGCTTACGCTTTCAGAACTTTTTCGAGGGTTTAAAGTGATAGTTTTCGCATAGATTTATACAAGTTACCATTAACTGGAGTTTCGCCCATGAGTTGATCTAAGATTCTCATGTTAAGGAAAGCGAATGTATTATATGATCCTTTTCAGGTTTCCATTAAAGGCTTAAGATACCACAAGCTACAAGTTTGACTTATCCTTCCTCTTTTTGATGGTATCTTCAGGACCCCGTCCGTCGACAACTTTGCCCGTTGCCCTTCCACCTGCACCGGCAAACCTCATTCCGGTACTTAGCTCACAGAACCTTTCGTTATCTGTAGGCACATGTAGGAAAGCTGAGGTTCCCTACCCAAGTTTGGGTTTTGAGAGACTTGTGTACAAACTTTCTTACATTAAAAGAAAAATAGAAAAAAAAAAAGAAAAAAGAATCATCTTCTCAGATGATGTGTATCATTGGATGAGATAATTTCTTCTTGATCTTGTTCTTGTTCTTCCTTCTCCATGGATTTGACATCTGGTTTATGTGTTTCAAAGGACCTATTTTATTGCCTAACAGACAAGTTCATAACCGATGATGAGTCTGGGGCTTTACACAAATAATTCTCTACATGTTTAATGTCCTTTCATCTAATTGCATGGTCAAATTCAGATTTTGTAACATCATTTAGAGGATTAAGCGAAGCACACGTAAGCTCATCCTAACTGGTTTATTGTATTGCAAGACATCCAGCGGGATGCAAACTTATAATCTCGTACAAGCTTAATAAACATTAGTTGATAGTTGATGACTGTTCGAATTCTGAAGATATCTGAGCAGGGAGGGAACTCGTTACTTGAGGTAGCTGATACCTTGAAGCTGAAATCACCATTTTAGTTAGTTTCTGTCTGTACGCAAGTTGCACAGGAGGCCCTGTAATAGGTGAATATTGGTATTTATTTAATTATTTATTGCTGCTGTTTACTGTTTTCATGTGAGTTTAGGTAGTGATTGTTTTACTCAGTTTAGGGAGTAATGCCAATGTTTCAAATGCATGCATTGAGCAGAATCCAGTTCGCCCACAAGAGTTGAGCGCACAAGGTCGGAAATTAGAGGTTGCAATCAGAGCTGGCGCTGCAGCAATGCTGGGCCTCAAAGAGTTTGAATGCATGGGATGGATTAGTTGGAGATGGAGATTGTGGATCCACGGTGAGAATTTCTCACTTGCACTACCTAAACTGTGCACTTCACATCCAACTCCTTGCCCAATTTTAGCCGAAAATTAATCCTGGTTGTATCGATTGCTCAAACATTTTATCATCTAAATCCAGCTGCAGTGTTTCTTAATTGTGATTTGGTTGGTTAGTTAAGCACAACTTGCTGTTAGAATTACTTCATAATATTCCAGTGGATCCATCAAAACAGAAAGATAATCTGTCATAGTATATTGGTGTTGCTCTAATTAATGGTACGATTATATTCTTTTCAGGGGCTGCAGCTTTTGAGCGAGCATTTGCCGCTGTGGATAAATATGGTGGTGCGTCGACTGGCCGTCGCACCCTATTGGATGCTTTTTTGCCTGCCTCATCTACTCTGTGAGAGGTAAGAGGTTGCTTTTAGAATATAATTCTACAATTGACCGAGTTTCCTCGTTCTTGCAGCAATTTACATTTACACAATTCAATAAGTTGACCAATGTTACCTTTTTCAGATAATAGGGTCTATCACAAAAATTCACTGGGAGTTTTACAAAATTGGGTTCCGAGGGATGATCCATTGATGTCGTTCAATTATACTGCATATACAGGAGTAGTAGGTGCAGCAGCCACAAAATTCATGCTGGCATAGGTGATCTAGAACTTTCAAACATGGTTTTCAAATTTGCTGTTTTTTTTTCCACGTACATTGTATTGTAATTACAAGTCAAGTTATAAACCAATCGTATTAAATTGATGAACGTGCAATGACCCTGTTTTTCTCTACTTGGATTGTTAGAATAGCAAAGGGTTACTGCTGCATTTGATCGAGTTATTCATATAGTCTTTCCATTACTTCTGCCACGTGTTAGAGTTGGATAATTGGAAGTAAAATTTTGGCTGTGTCAAGTCTATTACATATCTATTGGTCATCATCATGGACACCATAAACATCTCGTAATAGCTACAGATATGTTACTGCTACGTCTAGGTACACCATTGTTCATTTCATCAATCCTATCGCCAGTATAACTACATCCGACTTACGTTGCAATTGTGCATTTAATTTCTTCTCAACTTGTGCCCAGCTGTTGCAGAGTTCTGTACCTGAGTATGTCCTCCCGAGAGTTTCAGACTCTGGAACTATGGCAGCCGCAGAGTGGTTGCAGCTGCCCAGGCTTTGTCACCTTCCTCCTAGCAATTCTGCTCCTTGTGTGAACATCGAGATTGGATGCCATGCGCCTCCACTTCTCCTTTTTTCTGATCCTTTACAGAAGTTCATCTGGCCGTTTATCCATGATTCAATACTCTGGATGACCATTCTTGACACGAAGTTATGTCTATATTTCAAGATATGTTGGGCACTCTAATATATGACCTTGACCAGCTTTTTACCTGCGAATAACATTCATGATAAAATTTGAGTGAAGAGGTGGTTTGGATTGTCGCTCTTCCTAGAAACACAAGACTGTATATTATGTGCTCTCTTTGTAATTGCATGAAGCTCCCAGGATACAATAATATGTCAACATAGCTGAAGCCACTGCTTCCAGTGGCTACTGAGAACTGCCGCAAGCTGAAGGCCCTGTTGAGGGTTTCGTAAAGAGTTACCGAACCGTTCTCCATGCGTGGACTTAAAAATGACGGTGTAAATTGTGGCCCCTCATGGTATGTAGGGTGGTGAATTCTCACTATCTATTTTGATTTTTGTCGCCAGTTTCACCGATATGCAACATGATCATTTGGTAGCAGTATGCAAGGACAACATAGTTTCTACAAGTTTTTGTGTAGAAAATAGAGCAAGTTGTACAGCGGAGTACATTGTTACTGCTGTATGACCTTGTAACACTCGCATTGCATTCTGAAAGATATTCGTGGGGAAAATCCTATTCCTTCTGTCAGAAAGCTCATATTCTGTAATTCTGTATTAGCTCACTAAACTCATAGCGCAACTATCAGAGTTTAGGTGTGCTGTTGGATCAAATATCATTGTGATAAACAATGTAGCCTGGGAAATTGTCGAAGGGTGCCTGGATGAACTCTGGTGCCCACGGGTAGAGCTTCAGCTCTGGCTTTGGCTTCTCTTCAGGTTTGACTTCTTCGTTTCTCTCATTCTGCTTTTCTGTATTTAATCTTCTCTGCTGGTCTTGTGCTCTACGGTTTCCTCTCTTCCTTTCACTTTAGACTTGTTTCTCTTTTTACCCTTCTTTCCCGCTGAAGTTGGTATATCTCAAAACACTAAATATTCGAACATGTTTTACATTCATTATTGGAACAGTGCGGGTACTGGAATTATTTATATTGCAGCTTGAAGACATTTACAGGAGGATTAAGCTGCAAGATTTACATGGCAAGCCTGCGTTGATACACTATCAACATCAAACTAAAAGCTCTCAGGTCTTAAAGCTAGGCTCAAACTCAGTTGCAACCAGTGTAGCCTTCGGCTGTTATTTTTCTATTTGTTCTTAATCTTTTTACAACGATAATGGTTGCACGATGTTTGAAACTACCACCATTAGTAACACATTGAAGAATGCAGTTGGAATTAAAATCCTGTGTGAGCTTTTCATATAGACACAGAACAAGTTTCCCAGTTCTGATATCATGTCTGGACTAATCTGAGTCGGTCATACCGTCTGCAGCGTAAAACACCCCTTTTGACATGAATTCACCCATGAACTTGGGCATGTTACGGCTGTCGGATATGCCCTTGGACAGATTACGGCAATCCGGGAACTTGGACAAAACATTGGTCACAGACTTCGGCATTTTCGCCTCAGGCATCTTAGGCATCTTCGGGCGAAAGATTTTTCTAGGACTTTTCCCCCCTTTATTTTTTGATTTTCCCTCTTCCACTAATGCGGTTGTCTCTTCTGTCTTTTCCTCTGTTGACTTGGCTTCTTCCTTGGGTGGCTCTGGTGGTGGTGATGGGGTGGCGGTGGCAGAAATCAAAGTAGCCGCTTTTCCAGACTTGCGGATGCGACGCACCACATCATCCGCATCAACTTCTCCAACTACTGTTGCCTTTTGCTCTTTATAGTTTACTGTGTAGGAAGTGACACCTGCAAATATTCAAGACATACTCGCCACGGACACGATTAGGTTTCCGAGGTTGTCATAACACCAAGAAACAGGGTAAGCATCCAGCTAAAACCAACTTTGTAATCGGCTGTAGAATCTGAGTGAAGTAACCACCAAGGTGCCTTCTGCACTGTGAAAAATAAAGATAAAAATAATAATTGCACTATGAACTGATTGAGCTTGATGGGGAGAATCAAGTACCCGGGATTTTCTTCAGGGTTCTTTTCACGGTTGCTGCACACCCTTCACAGTGCATCACCACACTTATCTCCACCGTCTGCACAATTTCACCCAGTCACTCTGTCACATTGTGCATTAGAAGAATTTGCCTAACAGGGGTAGTCTTGTTCTTCCTGCTTACCGCTATCATCTTGAATTGATAAATCCTATTTAACGATCGGAGTTAACGTACTATTAAACATTCTATAAATACCGGCAAGCTGCTCGTGATGAGTGTGATCTCAATTACATCTACTTAAATTTGACGTCTGAATTCAGGTGTTTACGGCGCAATCTAGAATCAATATAATCACCATTATAATCACCATTACAAGGAAACCTACAAGTTTCCAAGCAACGCTCGTGAATTGGACGTCCACTCCAAATATAAAGTTGCTGATGGATTCCTCATGAACCTGAGGGTTATCTGGAGCTATGCTGCTAATAGGCCCTTTCAAAGCCACTGGAGCCACATGGTATAAGGCTGAAGCTAGATTCTACATCCGGAACGGCAAACAATTGATGTCTAATCAGAAAACAAAAAATCAATACGAAATGAAGGCAACAGAAGAGACTGTCAGTTGAAGGTCTATGTCAGATTGTGCACCTGAGACATTTTGGACAGCGTCGTGAAGCTGCCTAGCTCTAATCTCCCGCCCAGGCAATAACCAGGCTCCGAAAGAGTCCAGACTAAGCTGATAATGTCTCATGCACTTGTCGATGTCCTGGAAAATCCTGGAATCTCTATAGTAAGGCAAGAGCACACGAACTGAATCCGTGACAAAGCCACCAGCTAATCAGCCACTGCTGCGAGGCAAACCATCGGCGCAAACTTAGTCCAAGCGATTGTTGACACTTCATCTCCATAAATTTATGACAAGCAACGGAATGAGGAAGGAATCAACTCAGTTGACAAAATGAAGACTGATGCCAACTCGGTCAATAGACCCACAAATTGTTACTAGAGAATTCTCCGTGTCAGTCTCATACCCCTCTCAAGGTCACAAGGCGAATGCAATCAAAGCTTTCCAATCGACTCAGCAATCAAAACACGGTCTGCTACCGTATCACAATTAGGGATCGAATCGTGTAACAGCAGAATATTCAGCTCCAGACAATCCGAGTCTACCTCAGAACCTGCTAGAATACTTTGCCAGAACATGGCCAAGGACTGGGATGGTGGGAGACCACGCTGAGCTTGTGTAGGGGACAACAACATGAGACTAAGATAAGCATTTGTGGCAACCTTCTCCAGGATGGTATCCATTTTGCCTGCGTCTTTCACCATTTACCAAGTGGCAAGGGCTACCAGGACTACAACTTCAACTGTGGAACGATTCTTGGGACAAGAGCGGTGAGGCAACCACAGCATTATTGATGCATCGATTGTCCCGTCCCACATCAGTTGCAAGCCCTCCGAGGTGGAGCCCCACAACGCTCGCCTCACATTCGCTCCAAGTGGTGCTGCCAAAATGCTGCTGATCCTGCGACGAAGAGACCTCGCCGGAATCTCATCCAAAGCTGGATTCATGCATGCTCCTCCCTGATCATTGGCCATCCCCTTTCACCGCATGTTTCCATTTTGGCTTTTTTTTTTAACAGGAAGTAAAAGCACAAGGTTATCACATTTATCAATTGTTGAGTGTTAGGTACCAACTACCCTTCCAAACAATCTATTTTCTTTGTTTTGTTATGTTTCATTGTGTTTTTGACAGATTTTACAGAAGTGTGAATTGAGGTTGAGATGGGTGGGTTTGATTGGAGCAAGTTAATATTTTAAATACATTGATGAGTTGTGAAAATGTCAATTAGCCTCTTGTTTTTTTTTAATTAGAAAATGTAACAAGGATGTTATAAGGTAGGGTAGGACATTTTTTGCAATTCTCTTCCAAGTGGATTTTCCTAGATGAACATCGACAAACATTCATCCAAGAATAAGGTGAGCAACTATCACTCTAATTGTTTGGACAATTGTTTGTCTTTCTAAATTTTTATTTCTTAACCAAAATCCTAATTTCAATTCTAACTTCTAATCTCCTAACCCTAATCCCTAAATTCAACTTACAATTTCTAACTCATATATTATATAGCTATAAATGAAATATAATCAAGTGCAACTACTTCTTTGAAATTTCAAAACAAAGTGTCAACAAGACACCAAAATATTAAAAATAAATTAATAAATAAATAATATCAAGTCATAACAAATGATCTATGGCATTTTACAAAGTCATATTTTACAATAGTTTTGTAAGACCAAAAATATTGCATCAGTTTTTAAAGTATTTTTGAAAGTAATTCCAGAATAGCCATTTCTACTTAATTAATAAGTTTACACATTACATTGTAAATTGATCCAAATGTAAGATTAGAAGTAACTTATTAAACAAAAAACACGAATTGCTTATTAAATACTCAATTTTTATATATATATATATTTATATATTTATTGTGATATTAAATAGTAAATTTGAACTCATAAATTTATAATTTTTTATTTAAAATAATTTTTTAATAAAATAATATATTTAATTAATAGAAAAACCTTACATATCTTAAACTTTAATATCAACTTAAAAGTTTAGTTTGTTGATTTTAAAAAATAAAAAGTACATGGATATTTGTTGAAATAGAGTATATTATAGATGTTTGTTCAATCTCTATAATATAAAGTGTTGAGTTTATAACTATATTATATTACTTGCTTTACTACAATACATATAAAATATTTATTAATTGTTTTAGTTTGACATATTATTTTAAATCTACTTTTTATTCAAAATTATTGTATAATACAGTTCTACAATTTGAAATTTATTGCTTATATATGTTTTTAAAAATATATTTTTTAATTATAAGAAAAAATATCAAAAGATTAGAACCTATTTATTATTATTATTATTATTATTATTATTTCTTAAAATTGTATATTTTAAAATTTCATTAGAACTCTTTTTTACCCATTTCTTTTTTCTTAGGATTGTTTGAATTTTTTTATTTATTTTATTTTATGTTATACCGAAATTATTGGATAAATTGAAACATGCATGAATTATTACATTTTGATAATGTTGCAAACAGTCTTTTACAAATTCTTTAATTTTTTTAATGTTTATAAATAAATAAATAGATTTATATGTTTAGATGGTTATAAAGTTGATCTTTGTAAGATATGTGACAAGCACATCAATTTTATGATCATCTAAACATACATATATCAACAACCAACTAACATGTACGAATATAAATAAACCCAACAATTTCTACATGCATTCTTACTTGTTATACATGCATTTCATAATACCTTGCAAAAAAAATACATAGTTGCACACGCTTCTCTTCTTAAAGTAATTTCAACACGCACAATTCCACTCTATTCACTTATGAAAGATACAAGTAATATTACTTAAAATTTTGTAAATCTCTACCAAATTTTTCATTGGAAAATACCTGCATCATGCATTAGTAAAATCCATCCATGAAAATAACGGAGTTTTAAAAAATAATTAAATTTTACACTAAAATATATATATATATATATATATATATATATGCCAAATTGATACAAAATAACCTTAAGCTACTAAAAAAATAAGAAATAACACTTAAGATTGTAAAATAATCTATCCAATGCAATGTTTGTACTTGTAGCAGAAGCACTTTGGATGAGGTGGGCACCTAATTGACACAGAATAGGAACTCAAGAGATGTGGGCCCACCAGAGACCAAGTCATGCTGCTCTCTTTACCTGCACAACAATTGCTCCCTTTCTTCTCAAATTTCTGATCCACCACACCACATGTGCAAATTCTTCAACAGCTTTTAAATAGTTTTCAACAGTTTTTTCTGACCAGTTTGCACTGTTTCCACTGCTAGTCTTCTGTCTTGCAATCCAATATGCTGCTGTGGATAGCGTGGCACAGCACTGCAGCCTAGAAGAGTTATCAAAGTGTCACAAGAATGGTGAACTTTCGATGTCGTCTTTGATCCTTTGAATTCAAAGCCACACATCTTGGTAAATTCTGAGACTACTCGCAATAAATTAGGGTCTTGGTACCTGCTGTAATGAATGCTCTCCTTTGTAATTTGCTGAGGTTGCTGCTGGCAATGGGAAGAAATATTCGGGAAGGGGATGTTGCGAGATCGGAAAGATTACAGGTCACAGTCTTTGATTAAAACTATAGAGTACAACATTTGGTGAAGCACCAATTTCTGGACTTTTATATCCTCATGCAAAGTGATAGTTATTATAAGGCCATACTCCGTGGCTAACTTAATAGTTGAACTTCAATCTAATAACGCTAATGTGCAAAGAATGGAAAAAATACCCACTTACCATCAGCAGACATCTGATGCTGCTCATTGCTGCAACGTTCTTACAATCTTCGATTTTTCTTCACGTAGAGCCGAACATCTGCAGCTATCTGACAGCTTAAGGAGCTCATCAATGCTACGAAACAGAATAATGTGCTCACTCACTCCTGCCTCCGCACAATTGCACCAACAAACTTTCACGAAGTGAACCGATTGAAGGATTCAAACAGCATCAATGTAAAGAATTGTAAGCTTTAAAATCACCCTAGGGTTCAGCGAAGTCATAACCCACAACAATGCAGGAGGTCTTTGTAATAGTGGTAGGACTTGCGGTTGGGAGGAAAAGTGATCAGAACAGTGCTTAATCTAAATAACAGGAATAAGTAGTTTTTACAAAGTCAGCAAGCCATTCTACATAATCCCCACCAACCTCATGACCTCCAGAAGAAAACACGCTTAGGTCTGCACTTTCCTCAGTGTCTGCATTACAGGAAGATGTTGTCGGCGTGGACTCCATTGTTTCAACGTAGTTCTGCAGAAGGTGAGTCTACTAATCACCTCCCCTCTGTGCAATCTCTGCTTTGGAGCTATATCACCAATTCCCTGGGAGTGCCTTGTCAAGGATACATCATGTTTATGGTGTATCCTGTCATGTAGGTTTTATAGAACAGTCATTTCCATTCAAGTTTATATTAAAACAGCAAATGAATAGTGGATATTCAAAATTTGAATAAAACTGGCTTGTAAATCATGCTGCATATTGAAAATGTATATGTTTTTTCACAAATTCATTCTTATTCTATTTGTGTTTTCATTGTTACATATTTTGTAGTGCTCTGAATGTTTGGATTATAAAACAACTGGTTAAAGTTTAAGCAGCAAATCACTGTATAAAGGAATCACAAAGTAAGTTGTTTTGTTATTTTTAGCTATGTGTGTATGTGTGTGTATGTTAAATAAGAAAGTGAGTTTTGATTTGATGAAAGAAATTATATTTGATGGGAATTAAAATTGATCTTCCTACAGACCCCCATGAAGTTTGAGATGTAAATTACTGTACAAACAGTTTTAAATCTTGGTTTCAAAACACAATGATTTGTAAACCAAGTATGAAGATAAAGCAAAGAAGTGAACATGGCAATGAAAACCTGGATAACAACAGTTGTGTAATTTGCAAAGTTACCTGGAACTCATTGTATCATCATTTTATTTACTTATTCAAAAACATGATCAATGTTATCATATGTGGCACTAAGATATATGAATATGAATTGATGCAATCATATTCTCCTTCATTTTCAATAATTTTTTTTATTAAGTAAATTTAATGAAATGATGAGACCTATGCTTAAAGCAGTTTGAGATTAAACTCATCCATGATTTATTATAGTGTGTGTATTGTTAATTCAATTTCTTTCAGAATAAAAGTAAAACGAGGAATACATTGGTTTAAGTTTTGACGCGATCAGCATTCGAGATCGGTGCCGGGGTCGACCCCAAGTATTGTGCAGAAGCTCTTGTAATACGCGACCCGCGACAACATCTGTCTGCGCCCTTCTTCGGAGTAGCCACCGTTAATGGCTCTGGTAGTCCCGGAGAATGATTTGGCTAGAATGAACCGATGGCTACCTTGAGTCATCCAGAACCAGAAAGCTGTCTGAAATGCAATGACAGGGTTCGTGGAAATCTGGCCTGGGACTTGAAGAAGGCGTTTGCCTATGTAATCGCCACAAGCACCGTAGTTGTAGTTCCTGCACGAGAAAACGGAAGGACATTGCAAATCGTAACTTGTTAACTTCTTCAATCGGAGCGGAGATAAATGGTTTTAAAAAACATTCGAGTATTGGATGTCTATAATCTTCTAATTTACCAAATGTCAACAAAATATTCGAGTTCCTGCTGCATGCTCTCTAAAACCTTGTTGTGTTGTGTTTCATGTAGACTGCACTCACCAGAACAGTTGAATGGGACCTCGTCCAAAGTAATAGGGTTCTTGTGTCTTAGAACATGGGTAGGGAGATGTTGTATCACAGTAACCTTGCTTACACTGTATATTACAGTTTTGCTCGTATTGTTGCTTTAAACCTGCGCGCTTGCATACTAGTAAGCATAATATAGTTAAACCAACTCCAAACAATTGTAAATAAAACACATGCTGACGCACACAAGCACTTTATCCTTTTAGTGACTGATAGATTTGCAGCAGCCAATGTTCACTGGTTAAGGGTATTGTAAATCCACATGGGCTTCTAATCCATGAATAGGCCATGGCTGTGGTGCGGAGCTACAATATCAGTACCTTGAGACTCGTGCTTAACTTGCAAGTGCCAACTCTCGCTTCTGGTCTTCAGGAGATCCCGAATTTCCGAATTGAGTGAAAGGCGTCCCTGCAGCGGCCTTGAGGCTGTCGTATGTGTAGAACGAAATATGACCTGGGAAATACTTCTGATCGAAGTCAGCTTTGGTTATAAAGCTCGACCACTCAGCTGAAGCTCCTTGTACCAGGCTCAGAACAAGAGCTGTCATGTCGTCGGAGACTATTCACCAAACTGAACAGTGAGGCTCTCTACAAAATGACTGCTGCTTCTAATCTGATCGTACTTGCATGACTTGCAAGATTAGGATGTGAAGTCGTGTTGCAATGAGGTTCTGAGGATGAGTTTATAAAGGAGTGGTGAGGGTGCACATTTCAGTCCACGACCTAGTACTGTGTTCAGTCTCTTGAGTAGTCAATATATATAGCGCAGACTGGTTGGTGTGGTCCGATTAATTACTGAAATCCCGAAAAAAGCCCACGACCTGCTTGTTCAGTCTCTTCAGTAAGTACAACATATCCCACATCGCTTTTGGATAAGCTCCATTCCCAGCGCCGATTTACCACATATGTTGTAAAATATAGAGAAGATTCTATGGAATGTCGTCAGTCGAAGCTTTGTTTCGAAACTCGGAATAAGAGCGTCTCCGCCCCTTAAGGCTAGAACGATGCGCCAACAGGATAATCTACTGTTTATTAAAAATATCCTCAAGGAAAAAATCACCAGCGCAAATCGCCCCTCCCAAGCTCAGCATCCCCCCAACACCAAATTTGAGAAGCTCTGCGACCAGGTTATTGACTCAATACCATTTTATTTAATTTAGCCAGTGAAAGATTTCGTTGCAAAAATCATAGCCGTTTTTCATCTGTGCACATCGCACGGGCATTCCGCAAATATTATTCAACTTACAATGCAAACAGTGTTTCCTAAAAAAATTGCTCACCACCCGAAGTGGCAAATATACATGACGTTTGCCAAGGTTTAGCAGTGAATTATATAGTACATATAAGCATCCGTACCAATATAGTACATGCCTTGCCCAACAAATTGCTTATCACCGACACGAAGTATTTCTAAACCAATCTTACGATAACCTCACACGGAAGCGTACATAAGACATTCTAAAAGTATCAAACACGTCACCACAGGTATTGGACTGTAGTATCTCACAAATTGACTGCTTACCCATAGTATCCTGCTGATCAAAGAACTGTACTATAGTTACAGGGGTTATCATACAATCGATTAGCTGTGTCAACTGCCCCAGTTGTCAAAAAATTAGGCAAGTTCAAGTTCAAGCTTCTTAAATGCTCTTTCCAAAGAATCAGCGGACTCCTCTTCCTGGTGATCTGCTAACTTGGCTGAGCCTTCAATTGAACCTTCAGATGTCGATACACTAGTGTTCGACGCATCCAAATGGGAAGATCTCAAGTGCGCAGGCAACTTTTCTTTATGACCAACTTCAGGCAAATTGTTGATTTCAGTAATGGAGCCGTTGTCCAACTCAGCTTCCAGTAACGAAAATTCTACTTCAAGATCCATGTCCGCATCTGTAATGAGAGGTCCCTCAGCTACATGAACACATCAGGGTTCATTACATCTCACTTTGAAAAATTCATAAACAATGTAAAGAACTCCAGAACAAAGAGCGAGTATATTGACAGAAGATCAGATGCGTTTCCACGACTAATTGCACCTAGAAACCACTAATTTACTTTGTTCTCCTGAACTAGATGCAGAAATTGTCGAATTAAAATGACCAAAAGGTCGATATTGAAATTCAATGTGGGACCAAACCTGACCCGTAAGCCGCGTACAAGTAAACAATGTTAATCTGTGCAAATATGGCCAACATGGAACTGATTGAATCCATAAATGATTAATCCCTGAAGAAAACGTGTGTAAAGAGCAGAGATGGCACCTAAACTTGCTTGAGTTTCACGTTGCTGAGAGATAGCTTCATCCACCTCATCTAGACACGTTTGAACTTCTACTAAGGTGACATGATTATCTTTGATCGCTTGCGCTCCTACCTTCACAGCATCAGCAACCTGCATCACCAGATCCAAGATTCAGAAGCATCCAAATTAAAACTAAGAAAACTAGACAAATATAGACTTTGTTTGTAAGCATGAATGTTATCTTAAACTGCGACCATCTCTACCACTAATACTAGAAAAATGGCACCTAGCACTCGTGCAGGCATTCACCTTTCTTGTTGCCTCTGCATCAGCAATGGAGGTCAAAATCTCGTCAATTCTGTCCATGGAAGTCTCACATTTTTCCTTGCTTGCCATTAGGACCTTCATTCGATGTGCATGCCGAAGAGCCCCTTTCTTGTCCCTAGACTTAAGAGCCAACAACGTTGCAGTTCTTGAGCTGAGTCATCACCATAAACTACATGTTAAAACTAGATGAAAACAGCTGGATTTACATTCCTCCAGCCATTCGGGAGAAATAGTACGGAAAAAATTGAACGTTTTCAATTAGACAGCATGCACTAACAATAATGAATCTGACCTTGAGAAAAGATCAGGAATTAACTCTAATTTCACTTCATGCTTATGACATGATTCGATGTACCTTATAAATCACAAAAACAATCCGAACTTTACATGCAGAATGAGCGACTTGAGAGAGCCTAACCTTGCTATCCGGACATCAAGGACATTTATTTGCTGCTGCAACCTTTCCAAGGTCCAGTGCAACCGCAGTAAATGACTATCAAATTCTGAAGAATCTGCGACAGGCTCATCCTTGAGAGCAATTTTTATTCCCTGCAATTAGAGCAAGCTTTACATGAGCCAACAAGAAGATAGAAATAATCACTACAATAATGAGTTGGCAACAACAATCCTTAATTTACAAATACATTCCAATACATGTCCCCGTCAATTCCAGTGGAAATATATGTATATGTATATATATATATATATATATATAGATAGATATGTGTGTATGTGTGTCAGAGAGAGAGAGAGAGAGAGAGAGAGAGCGAGAGAGAGAGAAGAGGAGGGATAATCTCAAGCAGCGCTGGAGGTATCACATAAGAAAATGCGTTCCTAAACTTCGTGAGATGTCTTCTATAAGTGTCTAAAAGAAAAGTTACGTAGAGATTGAAAGAAGTAGACAGCTGTTAGATACACACCTCGATATTTTCTTTCCCCCCCAACTTTATATGACGAACTCTGCCTTGATTAATCAACAAAGCCATCAGTAAGTCTGCAGTCTCTGAGGAACCGCAGAGCTCTCGAAATCGCATCATGGTGACTACGCACACATGTCTCCACTCAGCTTCTGACAACTTTTTGATAACTGCTGCGCTCCGATCCTGAAGAGAAGACATCCCATCGCATAAAGCTTGAATTAACCAATAACTTTCAAGATAACAAAAGACTGATGTTAGGGAAAGAAATCATACTATGATGTCGACACGAAAGCTTTTCACAGAAGACCTGAAGGCACGCAAAACAGTCGCAGGAACAGATTTTGGGTAGGCAATTTACGAGCTATGAATTCCTACCCAGCATTCAGTAAGCCAAACCATATATCTTGAAAATGGCAACATGGCTTACAAGTGTTTCATTAGCAATATTGATTTCAAGTTTTTGACAACTCTATGAATCAAAAAAGTTTCAAAAAGCGAGATGAATAGGAAAGTGTACCTGGAGAAGAGGAGTGACTATCAGCATATCAGGCATTAGACTCGGCTGTGCTGCATCTGCTGTACCACGGACTTGGTTACCCATCCATGCGAACACTTGTTGAAAAACAGAACCAGTATATTGGGTAAGAGTTGCCTTGGGCCGCATCAATTCTTCTCTGGTTTGAAGCTCCCCGGATTTGCGCATTTCAGTCTAGGCAAGAGGTAAGAGACCAGGTTTCAATGAGTAAAATGTAAAATCTTCAAACTTAATGAGACGTCATTCTAACACATCAAAGAAAATGCTGCATGAGTAGTAAGCGTTGTACCAGAACCGTAGACATTCCCAACGGTGTTAACCCTTCACGAACAAACCATTGATGCTGGACCTGGAAGGAAACACAAGAAACTCGCAGTCAAACCAAATCCATCACCAGAACTAAATCGACACAATGCAGGTCCTGAGTTAAACCATATCACGTACTTTGCTTGGCTCGATTGCAACCACGCCAAGATGACATGCACACTTCACCACCAAATCCTTCCAGAACTGGAGCCTGTTCTCCCAATCCACCCTCTGTCCCGAAAAACCCTTAAACCGAGCTCTAGACACCACCTCGTCGTCCCAGTCCGGCACCTCCGCCCTCAGAAATGCTGCCAAAGGCGACTCTCGCTCACGTAGCGCCATATTTTCTCAACCTACAACCAAGATCCGCAAGTACTTGAGCAACTACCTCCTCATCCCCCAATCACTCTCTCCCGAAACCTAATTTCACAGTAACATAAAATCCCAACGATTTCACGAGTAACATACGCTAAAACAGAATGTGGAATGTTTTCTACGACAATACGATCAGAGGATCGCAACCCTCATCGACAATTCAACAGCACCACAGCAGCTTCACCCTTTTCGTCAAATTTATGAGGTTTCTACAAACCAGTGCCCAAACAGCCACATCTACACAATCAGGGACTACTGAATATCACGTAATCGGAAGCAATTGCCCTGAATACCTCAAACTCGTGTGGAGGCTTGCAAATTCTACGCTACACCCATTGATCGATCCGTCGATTCCGACGAACAAAGTCTACGCAGCATGAAAACTGATCGCGACACGGTCCTCGAACACTTCCACGAACAATTTCCAACGTCTGTGCACAATCCCTCCCAAAATCTGACGTGGACTTTAATCGGAAGACTTCAATTAAATATTTGGAAAATTAATTGTATTAATATTGAAAATTGTAAAAACTAAAATCCTTAAAAAGACTAACATTATGTACATTATTTCACCAATAATTAATGCAACTATATAGGAACCAGTGTTTAGGATTTATGATTACCAGGGTGTCCCCAAATTTGTGATGGTTGAAAAGTGGGATTGTGGGGCAGCCCCCAAACAAAATTCAGCACCCATGTTTGTCAATGTGGATCAAATTTCCAAACCTCCAAACTGCCTGGCCTTCAATCTTTGAGTACAAGAAGGTGTTCAAGGTTGACATCATTGCTAAAAGAATTTGGCAACCTCACATCTTTGACAAAATTGAATATGGATGGGTGTTCAAGCTTGATATAATTACCAAATGAGATAGGCAACCTCAAATCATTGACTACATTGAATATAAATGGATGTTCAAGCTTGACATCATTGCCAATAGAATTGGGCATTTTCACATCTTTGACAAGATTTAATAGAAGAAGATGTTTAAGCTTAACATTATGGCCAAATCAAATTGGGCAACTTCACATTCAATATGAATAGGTATTCAAGCTTGATATTATTACCAAAAGTATTAAACAAAACGGTGTTAGATAAGAAGTTCAAAATAGTTTAAATAAAATAAATAAAGAAGAAAAAACAAAAAAGATTGATACCATTAAACATAAAAACTATGTTTGAATTATTTATTTATAAATAGAATATTTGGACTAAAAAAAATTAGAAGTTTATTAAAGAATTTAGTTCTATCATGTAAGATTGAAGATAAAGGTTTAAATAGGTAGAATATTTTTTTGAAGGAATTATTTAAAAAAAAATTGATGATCAACTTATACAAAATAATGAATGTTAGTTTATTTAAATTTTTATTTTAACATATTTTTGTTTATTTTATTTTATTTATAACATTATACATACTATCATCTATGGTACTAATTTATCATGTGTTTTTAATTTAGATAATTGGTTACTTTATTCTTTCTTTAAGAATTTAATATTATGATCTTGATTTGTTGTGCTAATTAAATATGACCAATTTTTAAGAAGTCAAGAAGATTGATAAGTGGAGATTTGATTTTCGAGCATGCACTGTAGGTTTTATCATACATCATCGATATATTGGTAATTATTTGGAATGATTCATCTAAGATTTTGATAGCAAAATATTGGTTTATAATATTAAAAAAATGTTAGAGCCAAAGAATTGAGCAATTTAGTATATCAAAATTTAAAGCATGTAATTTAGTGATATTTGAATCACTTCCATTATAATCCTAGTTAACTAATGCAAGTGCATGTTCAAATGCTATTGTAAAGACAAAAAATCAACAATCTATCTTACTCAATTAATACTCTTTATTCTATGTGCAATAAATATTATAATCTCACAATGATGTATTTGATATATTGTGAATTAGAAGTATTCAAATTTCTTTATTAATACTTTGTGCATAAGTATTTGATTGCTGGTGTATATTAAACAATTGCCATCCAAAATGTGTTGAATTGAATAGATGACTTGTCTTTGTATCTCAATGTCCATTAAAATCAATATAGAGTGAAATTAATGACACTCTTGATAAGACTTATTTTTTATGGTGGTACTTGATCACAAGGCTTTTTAGCTATTATCTTTTATATAATCTATCATAATGTGTTTATAATTTTAATTTAACTTCAAAATGTTACAAATTTAGGATACTTACTACAAGTAGCATTAATTAAAATGTGTGTATTTATAATGCTCATGTTAAATATGCTAGTCAATACAACTTTGAGTTCTATGCAATATCTAATTTTAAATATTTTTCCATTACTGAGCATTCAAATTACAAAGATGAATAGTATTTTTATTATGATATCATCAAAAACAAATATGGATGAAGATGATGTAATTATGAAGTTTAGCTCACACTATTTACTTGACAAGTATAAGTACCATGATTGCTCCTTGTATCAACTTGCATCAATATTTGTATAAACATTTTATGTACCTAATATTTTTATGCATTTTTTCTAAATGCATTATATATATGTACCATAATTGCTTCTTCTATCAACATCCATCAATATTTCTAAATATATTTTTTTAATATATTTTTTTAATATATTTTTTTAATGTAATATTTTAGATATGAATGTTTATTAATAATAATATCACAAGCAATATACTACTATAGTTAGGAGAGATGGAAAATTTGGAGTAATGTTAGTTTTATTATTTTGGCATAGTTGCTTATGCCAAATAAGTTCAAAATGAACGAACTTCCTAGATTGTGCAATGCCAATTTATAAATAATAGTACCAATTTAACAAATTTGGAATTAAAGTAGTAGTAAAACAATGCAAACATGAAATATAAATCTTTCATAGTTTCATTCTTTGGTGCCTACTTTTCTATAATATGCTATTATCAGCAAATATTATTTTTCTAAATAAAATAAAATAAAATAAATGAATAGTCTAGAAATAATTAAGTAAGTTTGATTTTAGAGATAAAAGTATTATGATTTTATTTATATATTTATTTTTAAGATATAAATAAAAAACTTTACATAATCAATATAGTAATTATAAATATAATCTTTCTAATTTTTTTCTACCTAGAAATTTTAACTAAGTATATAAATTTTTAATTTGTGTATATTTGACATTATATGTGATACAAAATAATATTGTTTTAAAATAAAGAAATTAAATAATAATATTAGTGATAATATGCCAATAAATATAAAATTGATCTTTTAATAAGACACTAATTAAAATCAAATAATGTAATAATAGTATAAATTATCATCTTATTTATTTATTTATTAACCATCAATACTTCATTAAATTAGCTATACATATAATGTTTAATTTACAATAGTCTTTACTATATATCTTGAAAGTACTTCTAAAGTAATAAAAAAATCTTTAATGTTTTGAGATAAGATTACTGAATTCTACAGATATTTTAAAACCCTTATTATTATTATTATTATTATTAAGTTATTATGATATAGCTATTTTTTTGTTAAAAGCTTAGATTTTAGAACAAATTTTGTTTTAAAAAAGTTATGTATTGTATACTTAAAAATGCATATTTTTTAAAAAATATCACCAAAAGGTTTTAAAATATAAATAATAATAATAAAATAATTATTTTCTTAAATGAATATAATTATAAAATAACACGGATATATATATATATATATATATTCTAAGAAAATGTAAAAGTATTTTACAATCAAGTTGCTATCATATCAATTTTAATTGTTTAAAATTTATTTATCAAAAATAACCTTAATTAAATTTGATACAGTTATTTACTTATTTACTAACAGAGTAGTAAAAATAGCTCTATTGATATGAAGACAAAACAACATGAAAGGTAAGACATGTTTGTCTACACACATATTGATTATTTATACAATAAAACTAAGGAATATAAATAAGTAAAATGTAGTAGAAGTAGTGGTATACTTATCTGAACACATAGAAATCAAATTCATTTAAAATTAAATATATGCAGGTTTAATTTATTTTGTATTTCTAATTAAACAAAACCACCTTCTTCAGTACTTGACAACATCTTTTGGCAAAACTCGTTACTCCTGCTTACAAAAAAGAGTCTGACAACAAAAGAGAACACTACCTGCTTTTCTGCAAAGTAGTCTGATCCTCTGCCAAACCTCCATGATGTTGTTGCTACTGCTAGGTTCTTTCAAATCTACAAGCTTTATCGAGTCTACATATTTCTGCTCATTGTCATTGCAGTTTCTTTGACTTTGAATCACAACTACCTTCACAGATCATGACTGCAAAATAACAGAACTCCAGGCATTTGTTCACCTTCAACAAACAAGCTTACCAAGATAGTCTTGTTTTAGAAACACAAGATTGGATATTTCATCAGAAATGGCGTGAGGATTCCACTTTGTTGCTGCTTAAAACATAATGAAAATGAAAACAATAAAGTTGAACGGGAAATGACTGGAACTTCCTGTGTACACATACACCCATATTTGCAAACACATGCTCCATGACCAAGTATGCATAAGAGTGGTGTAAGAGTCCAAGGCTTAACCTATATAAAGAATCAAAAACTTCGCAGGCATCAAATGGAATAGGAATCGAATGGCACAAGACTCATCCTCAATGCACCAACACACCAATTTGTGGAGTTCTTTGTAGTAAAGCATCTAGTTCATCACTCTCGAAAGTAGAAATGCCATGGTTGCTTTTGGATGCTCGAACGCCCACTTCTAGGCCTACAACAAGTGTAACATTACGATGTTGACAGGTATTATTTTTTTCATTTTGTTCTCTTTCGCGAACCGGTGAGATGCAGCAAGTTGTTGTTTTGTTCTTTTGCATCGACTCCCATTTGGTAATAACATGCAATGCTGCAGTCGATTGCTGATCTATCTTCTTTGTTGGCTGTGGTGCAAGGAGATGGTGGAAGTGTGTGTTGTAGGGCGGTGCTTCTGGTCTTGTTGTTCGTATTGTTCTTCTAGTTGCTTGGCAATGGTGTGGTTCTGCGGAAGCTCCTGCGAATCTCAAAAGCGACAAGCTATTGTTTCCTTCCGTTGGTTGTGTAACCACGGAACGGTGGTTGGTGGTTTAGATTTGTTGTAATTATTTTCTTCTTTTGGTGCTGCGGCGGAAGCTCCGAAATCAGTAGTGCACTGCGGCTAGTTTCTGAGATTCCCTCAGTGTTTTGTTGTTGTTGTTGTTGTTGTTGTTTTTTTTTTTGGCATCGATAGTGTTGACAGTTCTTGTATTTCTTTACTTATTCTCTTTGTTTTAGTCTCTCGGTTGTTGTTCAAAGGTGGCCGCTGTGAACGCGGTTGTGTTGCTTGGTCTCTCTTCCTTGCTTTCCTTTGGCCCTTGTGCCTACGGTGCGGAGTTGCAGGGGCTGGATATTCTATGCAAGTCAGAAGTTGTGCTTGGAGCGGCTGGTGGCCGTTGTCACTACAGCGGTGGAGCTTTTAGTCTTGACGTTTGGTGGCGGTGTCCTGGTGGTTGACTGATTTCTCTTGTTGTTGTTGGCAACCACTTCCAGTGGGTTGCAAATCCTCTCTCCAGCAATGCTGATCTTTTACAGCGCCGGGATCTCCTTGCCGCATCCTAGTATGTGGAAAGGATCGGCGGCCGTTGGTGGTCTTGGTCGACATGGCTGGTGGCTGGGCTTCCAATCCTTCCAAGTGTGCAGTGGAGAGCGGTGTTGATGCATCGTAGGCTGCGGTTAGATCATTTGCAGTAGCAACCATTGATAGACGCTGGCGCAAGCTGTGCTTGACGCTCAAAAGCGAGCTCATTATTTCTTGACTGGGTCTTTGAGCTTGATCTATGTTAGAAGATTGGTGTCCAGCTATTGGTTGCTCACTCCAGTTTCCGTCACTTAAAAACAAAGGTGCAAATGCAGAAGAGGTCGTCAAGGGCGGGAATCAAGAAGCTGGTGGGTTGGTTGAGGCTTTTTGCCACACCTGCTCAATAAACTAGAAGCAAGTCCACTTGAAGATAGTGCAAGCGCCCTGCTATTAAAAATCGTTTTAAGGAGCTAGTTGCTAGCGCCTACTAACTTTTAATGCACAATGGTATTGTTGCTGCTGTCGACTTTCCTGCAGCCTCGTCTCTGCCATTATTGTTCTACTATTGTCCCGGTTTAGACTCTTAGGGATAGAGACTACTACTGCTTACTCATACAGAACTATGAAGCTCCCATTGTAGCGTTGGAAGTAGCTTTGTGCATTGCATAGTGCCTTCTCCATGAGATCCAAAGCTAAAGAAGCTTTCTAGTCTGTAATCATAATTGCATCCAAGAGAATCTCCAAAGTACTTCACTCTTTTGGAAGAATTCTCAAGGTGACAACTTTTACACAAGAGACATTTTAAAATTGAATAAATTTAAGTTGCATAAAACTAAATCGTGGATGAATCTAGGTCATTGGATGGATGAAGTTATCAGTACATGAAGTTAGGATAATAATTGGATGAAGTCATTGATAGATAAAAATTAGTTTTTGAATGAATTTAAGATGTGGATGAAAATTTATTTATGGATGATAACTTATACTTAGATGAGTTTTTGTTAATAGATAAATTTTGATAAAAAAATATAAGAAAACTTCTTAATGTATGAATTTTTTTAAAAGCCTCTTAGGGCTAGCACTCTTGGCTAATTCGTAAAATTGGTGTCACATCTATAGTTCAAAATTTGATAATGCTTGTTTAATTGAATGTGCTAAATATGTGTAGAATTTTTTAATAATCAAATAGTGCAATTAAGAGATATCTGGGTTTTGGTACAAGAAGATATTAGAAGTTGGTAATTTGGGATTGAGTAGAATTTCTATGATATCTAAAGATCTATTAGTCAAATTAAGATGAAATTTGGCATGGTCTTAGAAGACGTAAAGATCAAGCTATAAACCAATTTTGAAATAAAGTTAATAGTTGGAGAAGGAAAAATCACTGTTAGAACATTTGCATCAACTTTCAAGTTGGTGGCCAAGTAACTTTAATGTGGTTTTGGGCGTTTTCTCACAATTTGTAAGTTGGATTGGAGTGAATTTTTTTTGAGCACATAGAAGACTTATAATGGCATTTTTGGATAAATTTTTTGCTTCAAATAGACATTTAGATTAGGAGCTACAACTTACTAAAACTTGCCAATTAAGATTAAGGTTTGCAAAGAAAATTTAAAATTACCTAATTATGAAAGTAACAAGGCAATTGGAGTTTATGTATAATTGAGATTACTAAAAAGAGTGTTTTTGAATACTTTATATTGGATTTAATCACTTTTGAATTAAAATTCAAATTGTATTCTTTTTATATGAATAAAATATATTAGGATTCTTAGATACTTGTAAAATACAATCCCACCTTCTATAGCTAGATGCCCGGTACATTTCTAAACATGATGACACATAATATAACATTGTCTTTGGACTAATGGATTATCAATGTGGAAGGCCAATAGTAGTAATAGTAGATATTAGTCCAATAAAAATTGAATGGACTATGAGACAAAATAATCAATCAAGGAGGAGATTTGAAGCTGGAATTCTTATAGATAAATAAAAGACATATCTACAAGTTAAGCATGAACTTTGGAAAGCTTTTATGGCTTTAAAAGCTAAGAAAAATTATTTAATTAGAACTAATGTGGTTTTAAAAATAGATTATTTTCCTCTACTTAATACGGTAAATAATTATTCTATTTTAGATATTACTATGTTGAAAAGAATAGCTTACATTTGGATATTAAATCCGATTTTGAGTACATCACTATTAAAGATAATTTGGTAGCAAATATATATTGTTTAGTGTTAGATATATTAATAAAGAAGAGATGATGGCTTATAAAGATGAAAAAGATAAAGATAAAAAGACCTATGAATATTCATTTGTTATTAAATGAGTGAATCTTTGAAGTCTTTTAAAATTATCTATATGATAAAAGGTTTAAAGATATTGGATTTTATTTGAGAATAATAAAGAGATAAGAAAATTGAATGGATAAAACTTTTAAATATATTTAAAATTAATTTCATGGCTATCTTTTCAAAGATAGATTTTTATACAAGAGACCAAAGAGAGGCGATAAATTTTTATTTTGGATAGAAGGAGACTTCATAACTAAAACATGATTTTAGATGAGTTTCATAACACACTTTGGGTTGGATATAGAAGAATTTGGGCCACTTATATCAAAATCAAGGACATATATTGGTGAAAATAATTATTTAAAGATGTGGAGGATTTTGTGGGCTCTTGCATAGATTGAAAAATACAATCCAAGCTTATATATAGAAATAGGCTTGCACCTACTTATCTACCTTCTATACATTTCTAATGGATGATTGATTTATTAGCTATGCCATTTAGACTTTAAGAGATAAAATATTTGATTTTGGCAAAAGAAGAACTATAAAATTTTATTGAAGGAAGAATTTAAAGAACTAAATTTACATAAAGAATATTTCAATTTATATTAAAAGATATCTTTAACCAATACAAAAGCATACAAAAGATGAGAGCAGATAAAAAAAACTAGATGCGATAGAGACATAGAAATTCTTTAAAAGATATGAAGTTCAATTAAAATTGACTATTTTTTATAATCTAGAAGCCAATGGTAAAAGTAAGAGAGGTCATCTTCCTATTATTAATGCATTAATAAAAGCTTATATAGATAAATCAATGCAATGGCTAAAATTGCTTCTATTTGCTCTGTAAGATGATAAGTTTATTCATAATACAATAATTGGATGTATGCCCATTGAGTTAATGCTAGGGCAAAATTTTTTGATACCAATAAAAGAATCTTATTATACATGGATTTTTTTATCGTAGAAAGATGAAATTGATAGAAAAAACCTATTAGAACTTTGAATTCAGCAATTAAGGAGATTATTGAAAGAGTTGGAAATAGTAAAAGAGGGATTAAAAGTAGCTCAATTAAAGAACAAAGAAAGGTTTGATAAGATTTATTAATTAAGATTTAAACCTATAGAAGTTATAAATTAGATTTTAATTTATGATAGTAGCTTGATCTATCAACATAGCAAAATTAAGAAATTTGCAAAGAAATGGTTTAAACCTGATGTGATAACTATAGTCCATGACAATGCCACTTATTCTTGCATAAGTTAGATGGAATCATTATTAAAAATCTAGTGGAAAAGATGAGAATGAAGGTTTTTAAGCAAAGAAATACAAGGTTCAACAAAGAAGATTACATTGGTTCTTTATAATAACAAGAAAAAGAAGATCAAAAAGAAGAATTTAAAGGAATTTTGATAGAATTTGAAGAAAGTGAGGAGAATTAATGGCACATATCAAAAGATGTACAAGATTAGAAGGGATAGATGTTGTATTATATTTTTATATAATACATAAAAACTAAATAAAAACTATGAAATATATTAGTTTTTACTTTGTATTTTTTTTTGAATAAAATATTTAAAAAATACTAAAAAATTATAATAAATTAAATTATAGATTAGAAAAAAAAAATTTAGAATATAAAAAATATATAGATATATGAATCCTATTAGTAAGAAGTATCATAATTTAAAAAAAAACTAAGTGTATAGAAAAGAATTAGGATTGAAGATAATTAATTTTTAAAGTATTTATTTAATGTAAAATTTAGAAGATATATTTTTAGTAGATTTATAAATAGGTATAAAAATTTTTTAAATTATTTTTATAATTTTTAAAAAATAGAAATTTAAAGAAAAAAAGAAGTAAGATAGAAAGCTTAAAAAGAGAAGAATTGTCTTTGAACATCAAGCAACAACTTGAGGTTGTAAAAATGGATGGATGATAAAGTATTTAAGTGGCACCTAAGAGGTTTCAAATCCAAATTCCCATAGTGGCATGTGAGGTAGAAAATGTCACGGATATACTATGTAGGAGATCAAGCAAAAAATTGAATAGATGAATTTCAATAAAAAAGCTAACAAGAACTTAATTAAATCAAATGATTAAAAGATCAGCACCAAGAAAGGTGAGCTAGAATTCTAAATGATGTATTTTTAAGACTAAGGATTCTTTCAACCTTGACTCCAATATATACTAGATATTAAGAAGCTTCTATTACAAATATATATCTACTATAATTATTATATAGGTAATATAAATATGTAGAAGTAGGTAAAAGTAGATTAATTTTATAATACCTTCTAGAGAAGCTTTCTACAAGCTTCTTAAACAATGTTTTGATTTTACATATGTTTGTAGTTGATTGATAGATTAGAAACTTAGTCAAGAAGCTAACCATGAGCTACATGTGTTATTAGCTTGCGGAACAAGCTAACTATATAGTGCCTATATAAAAAACTTGCATTGCAAGTTAAGATATATATCATACAAAGTCAACACATTTTTAGAAGTTCTATAGAATATTGCTATATGGATCCTAAGTAAAGAGTGTATATAGAAGCAAGACTAAATCCTTCTTTACTCTTATTAACTCTTTTCTTATTTTTAATATAGTTTCAAGAGTCTCTAGCTTCCTTGTCTTTTGAAAATTGCTATTATATATATTTTAATATACATACTTCTATATTTTTATTTTTTTGAGAAAATCTCACTTATTTATTTACTTTCATTGAGTTCATGTCCTTAACAAATTAACAAGAGTACACTTATAATATCATAGCTTTGTCTTTTTTTGATTAAGAGTAGATTATTCTTTTTTCTTGATAAGACTTAAGTATATTAGGAGTTGCAGATTACCTTCTTCTAAATTGATATTATTCTTAGGATTTTTTTTTTTTTTTTTTTTTTTTTTTTTTTTCAAGTCTTTTCTTCTATTTTTCTTGAGTAACATTAGATATTTTTTTTTTAAAATTATTATTATAGAAGAGCTTCTCAAAATGAAGAGTATAATGACACAAATACAATAGTAATTGAAAGAATTAATGCTTACGATGCATCAATTCAATTTATTGCCACAGGGAGCAACAAAAATGGTAGAAAGTAAAGCTATAAAAATGATTAGAACTGTTTCAACATCTGCATCAAATCATATCCCTTCTCCCATGGTAGAAAACCATTTTAGTGTTAAAAAACCAAAGATTGTAGTGCCTACAACTTTGATGGTATAAGATCTAAATTTTGAGGATTTATCAATTAAGGATAACTTGTAATTATTTCAACTCTAGGATCATAAGTTAGATTCATTGGTATATTTCTTTCAAGTTTAGCATTGTCATAGTTTTTATCTTTTTTTGAATGACAAGATCTAATATTGGATAATTTGAAGGTTTTTTTAATGGAATTTTGATCCATGTATAGATAACATGATGTAATTTGTATTGCAATCAATAAAATCTATATCTTGTAATAAGGCAATCAATTAGTAATATTATATGCTTTACAATTTTAACAACTTGCAATTGATATCAAGTAG